CGCGAGCAGCGACAGCGGCGAGCAGCGTCAACGGGAGCAGCGGCAGCGAGCGACGAGATCGCAATCGCGATCGAGAGCGGCAGCGGCAGCAGGTTAGTGTTGGGTTAGGGTTAGGGTTGGGGTTATATCGGTTTAGTTGGTTCGATTGAACCAACTAACAACCGAACCAGGATCGAACCAGACCTAAAATTCTGGTTCGGTCGCCTTGGTTTACCCAGGCGCTTGCCCGAAGCGCCCAGCGCCTGGGCTCGGGCGAGCGCCCAGGCGGCGCCTGTTTGAAGCGCGCCGCCTGGGACATTAGCGAGGCGCTCGGGCCTTGCCTCGCCTCGCCCGAGCGCCTTTTGCAATCACTGTTCCAAACTTGACTAAATCACATTAAACTTCTCCAAAACTACTATGACATAATTCTAAGTCAATTAGTAACACTTTTCCTTTTCTTTTTTATTTTAGTCTAATTAATTGAATTTGGCATGTTGTGATCCGAATGTAAGATCCTAATCCTATCTCATTCTTAACTCAAGTGTAACTCGAGTTAAATTTCACCAAACCACATCAAACTTCACCAGAACTACTATGACATCATTATAAGATGATTAGTAGCACTTTTTCTATTTTTTGATGATCTTATTCTAATTAATGAAACTTGGCATGTTGTGATCCGAACATATGATCATAATCCTATTCATTCTTAACTCGAGTGTAACTCGAATTAAATTTCACCAAACCACACCAAACTTCTCTAGAACTACTATGACATGATTCCAAGTCAATTAGTAACACTTTTTCTATTTTTGATGATTTTAGTCTAATTAATGGAATTCAGCACATTATGATCCAAATATAAGATCCTAATCCTATCTCATTCGTAACTTGAGTGTAACTTAAGTCAAATTTCACCAAGCCACACCAAATTTCACATACATTCATTAAACTTGAATTCAGTATGTGCTCTCGAACAACCCAAAAAACTCTGGCCACTTCCCTATCACGTACATTCATTAAACATACATTCATTAAATTTTTCGAAAGATGGATCATGCAGTAACCATGATGTGACCCCATCACATACATTCATTAAACACACCAATGCATTTTCTTAACTCAAAAAGAAACCATTCTCATGACTCTCTCCCCTCAATCTCTACTACTCCATATATGACGGGGAATAACTTATTAGATCCATCAATAATAATAGCTGTCATCAAAACAGTAGGGTATTTTCCAGATAAACGTGTTGCATCTATGACAAATACTGGACAAATGTATTGACTAAAACTATGCAAGCATGCATCGAATGCCCAAAAAATCCGACGAAAACATCCATCCTCTGTAATAATTAAACCGTCATTTCATAGTCATGAACTTTCAACTCTCATAGAAAAGGTATTAACTCATTAAACGATCTATCAAAGTCTGGCCAATCATGCTGGAGTTCTTAAATCCTCCTTTTTCAAAGAGGAGTGATTGCCTCAACTTTTATCACACTCGAACATCTGATGTCTCAACTAGATTGTAACAACTTTTATGTTCAACAATGAGCAACAAGTGCACGTCCGATGTCTCAACTAGATTGTAACATCAAAATACTAAATCTAGAAAGGTAATTCAGGAAACGTTTCTCAAAAATTTATATATCTTTCAACAAAAAGAAATGACACCTTTAGTCAAACTATTTTGTTAGGCATTAGCAACAACCATTTTACTAAGTAACATATAACCAATGCATACAAAATTAAGATAGATTTTCCATACATAGAGATAAGAACACTCAGCATTCAGTAGTATATTAGACTATTAATAACAGCCATTTGATAAAAGAACACATACCATAACCATCCATATATCTGGCTCAGCTTGATAGAACACATGGGAATGTCGCTCCTCTTCGATGACCTCACAAGCAGCATCAGGAGAAAATATTCTGCAGCAAATCGATGATAGGGAATTGAAGAGAATGCATCCAGCATATCACGATACATTGTCGTTATCTTGAGAGCAGGTATATAGATGAAGAACAGGATGCAACACTTGAAAATATGCATGTCGATGGCACAATAAGCAGGCTTAAGAAAACCAAAGAAAAATAACTGTATAAAGTGGCAGTCATATCAGCATGCCAACTGTCATTACTCTCTCTCCAGCTCAACCAGATATTATTTTATATCAAGATGCCGCCATCCTAACGGGCTTCAGAGTTCAGATAATGATGCATACATGTCATCAGAAAGGCGCCAAAGATGAACTACATTATAAACGAAGACCTTTGCTTCACATTCTTTTGAAGAAAACAATGGTAACAGAAACAATGAAGTATAAATGATGCCTTGTAACAGTAAATAGAATAACAATTTAAGACAAAGAAATATTTTGACAGAATGTGGAAGCAGTGATATGCACCTCCCCATGTCCAGCAATTGAAATCTCATGACAACTACGATCTTGCATGTTGTCTTCTTTATAAACCTCCACATCATAAATTGGTCAAGGACATTTACCAAGTCAGCAATCTCTCTTAATTGTATGTCCTACTTATATTCTCTAATTAATAACAAACCATGTCAATCATACCAACTTGGTAGAATAATCATGAGCAGTATACACTTGCAAGTAAATCCCACTTGACTCACAAAAGTGCATTCAGTTTATGCCATTATCTCGGAATCTTATCTACCCCAACAATGTTCAATCTTCTTTATGAAAATATAGACAAAAAATCATTTAAGACCTGCAGAGTATTATTCCATATCTTTACCTACTTTTCTACCTAACCATGTAAGCATACACAATAAAACATGTAATTCCATATTTTGAGCACGACCTGAAGTACAATAGTTTTACATCTTTACCCAGTTTGTTATTTACCTTTGTAAGTTTCCGCAATCAAACTACATGTCCAGCTTCCTTACTTCAACTGAATTAATAATGTATTTGAGCAAACATATTTTTCAAAAAAAAAATCAAAGGTTCCCTGAATTACCTTTCTAGATTTATGTTCAAATGGTGTCCAACAAGTTAAAAGTGCTTGCATTAAACATAGTCAACTGTCCTACACAAATAAGATGTGAGGCCATGCGAAACCTCTATTACAAGAAACTTAGAAAATATCTTAAGAAATATTATTATCCAAAAACTTGCCGAACGAACCTTGTGAAAGTAATTAGTCCTTCTGAAAGTCCTACAACAGATAGCTGCACAGAGTAAGGGAAATCTGAAGGAAAAAAGAACAAAATCTTGTCAAGTTCTTGGCCCTCCTGATGTCCCCTTCTCGAGTCAAAAACACATAATTGTATGCCTTCATTAGCAGCCATGGCCGGCAATCCCATTGCTCTTGACAGACTGCAGCTCCAAAAAAAAAAGAAGGAAATAATAGAGCACAAATACTATGGTTTAAGTACCTAAGGCAAGTATTCAGCTGATGAATTAATTTAAAGAAAATTGTCGTGCTGACAAAAAGATACAATCGAAACCTAGATGTTGCACAAAATAGATCAAGATGATTATACAAAAGCAAAAGATGAAACCTACGCCATAAGGTGACACGATCAATTATCATATGTCAGCAAGAAATGATGTATGACATGTTCAATTCCATGTGTATTACCTAATGCTGGATTAGTTTATCCCAAGCATGCAATTGCTGAGCCAAGAATCGAGAGGATCCAATTAAGCACCGAGTTAACTAACAAAGACTTAACGCAAGATTATAAGATCTGTTTCCATCGGGTTGATCGAGAAATGGCAAGTAGGTGAAGGAACACTACGAGAATCAGAGTCTATTTTTTTTTTTTCCAAAATAAAGAGGTTCAAATCCTATAAAATCCAAAGGAAACAACAAGAAACCAATTTCACCTCACCTCACTGCGGAGGAGCGTCGAGACAAGCCGCAAACCCTCCTCTCGATCTTGGGGCCGAACCTCAGAGAAGCGAAAGGGCTCCCTCGCGATGGGGAACGGAAATGGCTACGGCGATCATCGTCACATGAACAATCGATTACAAACTTCTGCAGTATTCATCTGTTCGTGTCAAATTAGACGAGGAAACTCCACGCCATCGTCGCGGCGACGAACTGGAAATGCAATTAAGAACGATCGATCCCAATGTTTACCTAACAGTCCACCGATTTATTATGACGGGACAAAGCCGGAGGATTATGGGGCTTTACACGTGTACTGCAGAGATTAATCTTTCAACGGTAGATGAGAAACCAGTTTGCAGATCCGACGGCAAACGCTATTGACGGAAAGCATGTAGTTCCAACGGTGGATGGAACATTCAGTTGCAGATCCAACGGTTTAGTGTTATTACACGGACGATATAAACACAAATACATAACGGAGGTGTAATTATATAGATTATCTAATATAATTAATTATTTTTAATATTTTAATTCTTATATTTTTAAAAATTAGATATCTATATTTACTAAAGTAAAACATTTAACCTATAAAATTTTTCTCTCTTTTGATTTTTAATTAATAAAATTACCCATCTTAATATTTTACTTTCGTAAATATAAAAATTCCTATACGGATTGAAGCATAGCCAATTTAATTATGAACTCCTATGGACCTAACTCATTCGATATAAATATCTCGCATACCCAAAGAAAATACAATCCACAATCTTAAAATTTATCTTGGTATCACTTTTCTTCCAAATCCATGCAAACTGTATGAATACTTAATATCAGGCAAAACTTACTCATTTTTATTCATCTAAGTGGAATTAGGATTTTCTAATGGTATTGCTACAAAACCATGCAAATCTTTATGGTGTAATTAAAATATCCAAACTTTTGTGAATACATAGAACATTAATTAATATGCATTAAACATAATCTTAGGTTATGAAAAGCCTGTAACCCTTCTCAAACTAATATAATTATTCCTTATTTCTGCTAAGGTATTTTGATTGATTTGTATATTATTGCATAAGCCATATATCTAATATTTGAACCTTTCTATAAGCATCATCTATAACATTTGATATAATAGAAATTAAAATAATACATAGTTTTATCTTAAACTTATATAACAAAATTGTCATTGTTGTACACAACCTACCAATGCAGCATAAAATTCTTGATGATCATCAATTTTTTTTCTAATATTGTTGCCCCTTACTTGAATTTTTTTTAAAACCAAACCAACAACTAAAATATCTATTATTGATCAAGAACATTATAAAATGATCTCTCGTTTATAATGGAGTAAAATAAGATCATCCAAGCTAGCAACTAGCAAGTCTCAAACATTATACTCCCTAAGTAAGAAACTTGTATCGGGATTTTTAATTTCGAATAATATCATCCGGTATGAGCAGTACGTACCAGTCTGACAGCATACTAACACACGAACCGTCCACTATTGGATGGAACGCTCAATATCGTCTCATACCGGATGACACGAGGGTATATCGGATGGTAATTCAAATAATTCATATCAAAAGTTACAGCTTTGATCGTCAGTCAAACGATGTAGGTATCACAAATTGCAAAAGAAAACTTCAAATGGTGACCACCAGTGAAACTGGGCTAGAATTCTTTCATTTTGACCATATGTTAAGAACCATGTGGTTTGGATCCTCTGATTCTTTGAAAGACAATATTTTGCTCCTTATCTGGATGTGGAAAATCTGCCAACTGCGGCTCCCGGCTTAATCCGTGAGGCAGGAATATTCAACAACAGAGAGAATCCAGGTTGAAGCTCAAATAAACTCCTTCAAAATCACTCCAAGATAGAGAACAATTGATCTCGACCCAAAAAGAAGATACTTCCAATACCCTATACAGATGCATATGAGAATTAAAATAGTAAGGGAAGCCCATGTCATTAACAATAAAAAAATTAAATCAGGTGGACATACCAAGAGAGGTCATATACCAGAACGAGGGAATCATAGATTTAGGTATCTCTCCCAACCTTCTGCTTCGAGCTTTGATGCTTTTGTCAAAACAGTGTCCTTCAGATCATCTTGATACTTGATCACTCTTCAAAAAATTTGTGGAAACCAGAAACGCAAGTGATGAGCTTAAATATACAAATCAGATAAGTTAAAATCATATGTTCATGGTATTTGAAAAAAGACCTGTCCCACAAATCAGCATCACCAGCAGCGAGAATCCTGACTGCTAATAAAGCTGCATTTGCTGCATTTCCAATCGCAACCGTTGCAACTGGAATACCTTTTGGCATCTTTATGGTAAAAAACAAAGGGCAATCAGTTTCAAGCATATGATCTTAACCCAACCGCCACAATCGAAGTACTTCCTGAAAAAGAAAAACTGCATCCATGATCCACATTATACCTGTACGATAGATAACAAGGAATCAATTCCATCCAATGATGAGGTTCTTATCGGGACCCCAATGACAGGTAGTGGAGTCAGCGAAGCTACCATTCCTGCAGCACAACAGAGTTTTCCAATTAACTTCAAACATTGACTGACACCAATATGGAGTATTACTTTCTTCTTTTCCAGAAATGTGTGATTCACCTGGTAGATGTGCTGCACCACCAGCACCAGCTATTATGATCTGGATACCTCGTTCTTTTGCAGACGATGCAAAAGAGTACATCCTTTCTGGTGTTCGGTGAGCTGAAACAATTGTTACCTGAAGTGATTTTACAATTAACAAAATCACATGATGTGCATAATAAAACTATCACACCTTCTACGAAGCACCTTGAAAGAAAAAATGGCTTTAGCATGGTGATGAAACTTACCTCATGTGGCACACCAAAATTTTTTAATATTTCAGCAGCATCCTTCATTGTAGGAAGGTCCGAATCAGAACCCATGATTATCGCAACACGTGGAGTAACTGCACCCGATAAGCAAATCTTAAACTCAAATATTAGTAACTTCCAAGCATACACTCACTATATACTCAGGAACAGCAGAAGAAAACTTAGTAGTGTATTTTTTTCTCACCGATAACACACGAATTTTGGTAGGCATTGTGCCAACAATTAAATACTCTTGCACAAGAAATAAAATTATGCTGATTAAATACATTGTGGAAACTCACATAGAGAGGCAATCAAATTTTATTTATGCATAGTGAACATCAAGCTATGAATTTCTCATCTCAGGACAAACTATTAAAGTATAAAAATTCAAGAATTGGATTCTAAATCAACTACTTGGGGATTTACTAAATATTTAAATGGCGTATGTACATAATGATGTAACCTGTAACTTTAGGGTGAATAAGGTGAGATGAGGAACAAAGATAGTACAGAAGAGATCTTGTGGCAGATTTTAACCAGAAGCAAAGTTATGAATCGTCATTGTTGAGACGAAAAGAATTGAAGAACTTATAATCATTGCAATGGTGTAGATCAGAGTTGCATTCAATCAACAAAACAATATTTAGAACATTTAGAGACACTATGATGACAAATATTAAAAAAGCAATTAGATTCTTATATTTAAACTAAATTTAAGAAGAAACAGAACTTTGCATATTACCACATTCTCAAACATACTAACCTACACCATGGCTTCCTGGTGTTTCTCTTTCCAGCAAGGAATCAAGTCTTTCTTTTACAACGTTCTTTGAAGGGCCTACAATTGTGATATGACCCATCTTCCGGAGCTTCCGCATTTCTAATAGCAGCAATTTTATACACGTGGCAAGAAAAAGAGTAACTGGAAATTAGAAGATTGTATTACTCAGGAAAAGGCACACTGACCTGGTTTATCATACCAATGGATATTGGCCCCAGGTATCTTTAGTGCCTTCCCCATCAGCTGATGAGCCAAATGAAATCCTGCTTCTCCCTAGCAGTAGATGATCTCAAACAAAATCAAAAACTAACTAGCTGAAAGGACATCAAAGTTCAAACAAGAGTGTGAAAGAATTAACTATATGCAGATCAAAAGAATGACAAACTCATGAACTAATGTTTACAGAAATCAACTACTTGAGAATTTAATAAATATTGTATAAATACCTTCTCAAGATAATTACCTCATCTTCACCTAGTATGTTATACATGATTGCAGCTGGGGTTTTCATTGATGGATCACCAAGAGGAAGACCAAGAATAGCTCGAAGATGTTGTTCATACTGCGAAGTATAGCATGACTCAATCGTATGATGTCCACTATTATGAGGTCTTGGAGCTACTTCATTGAGCAAAACCTATTAAAAAAAAATAGTTTCAGTCAACTGCATTGCTATTTAGAACCATTACCGAATGTCCAGATAAATGACACCTAATTAAAGATGAGATGAAAAGGTTAAATTGCACCAGCTTGTATACTAGGGTAGGGTGCAAACAAAATATGAACAGAATTACCTGTCCATCTTTTGTTAAAAATAATTCTACTGCAAATACTCCTGCTCCCTCGAGTGATTTGACAGCTTTTTGAGCAATGTCAACAGCAAGTTTCTTTATTTTGTCAGGTACATCAGCAGGAGATTCAACTATGTGACAGATGTTATTCCTAGAAAAAGTAGATTCCACAAGATTGTAAGATTGGCAAAAGAAGAGAAGTTTAGAACATAGCACCTGCGGCCCACTACACAGCTCAATTGAACTAGCAACCCAATTTATTCTTCTTACTTGTGAATAGTCTCAACCACAGGAAAGCATGAAACTGAATTGTCTCGAGCCCTGGCCACAATCACAGAGAGCTCCTAGATCAAACAAAAAAGAAAATTTTGTTATAAACTAATTACCAAGACCAACTTATTTTAAATTACTCCATATTAAGAACAAAACCCACATATCTCTATAAGAAGAGACATACATGCACATTTAGAATTGTTAGTATCTATGTAACCCCATGTATATCAACCTTTGTCTACATGCCCAAATATTCAAGTTTATATGCAAGAATAGATATACAAGTGGATACAAATTCATTAATTCCTGCACCAAGGAAATCAGACAATGTTACTTGTCTCAAGAAACAAATGATAGCACCAGCAAATTCAAATGTACAGCACAACTGAAAGACCAAGAATCAACTGAAAGTTTCAAATGCAGCATTGCATAATACTAGCCCAAAGGAAATCTTAAAAATTACTGAACATATATCTGCAGTCAGTAACCATAATAAACCTGACTTTAGGAAATAGTAAAGACAAACCTTCACAAATGGTGTCCATCTTTCAACATATAAACCATGATCAAATCCTCCCAATGCTGAAAGAAAGCATGAATTAGTTAATGGAGCATGAAACTTTAAGAAAGAGCACACCCACCAACATCGTACACTCGTCCGAACTAAAATATATATATATATCTCTCTCTCTCTCTCTCTCTCTCTCTCTCTCTGTATTCATTCTTGGAAACAAATTCCTACAAGAGATCAACAAACAAAAGTTCAATGCTCCATGAACATACTTTAGCCAATTAATTTGGAAGCTAAACAACAGGCACATATCTTTTCCAAAGTTATACTTCTAAAGATTACCATATCATTCTCATATGACAGAACTGCAAACTTTTAAAGGATTGGTATGAAGTATGCCATGCTTTAGATTGAGATAAACAGCTACCTTGAGCATCAAGCATTCTCAAACATAGTATCTTGAAAAAAAAAAGGTAAGGTTACTCTTTTACAACCTGGGAGGACCACAGTTAGAGTCACAAAAACAATCTCTTTAAATACTTAAAAGTAAGGTTGCGTACATTGACCCTCCCCAGACCACGCACTAGCGGGAGCCTCATGCACTAGGAAAGCCCTTTTTTATGTTGAGTCTCTGGTCTAAGACATGCATAAATGTTAAGTCTCTGATTTTCATTTCAATACTTTTTGTGATATGAAGAAAATTATGATTGTGGCCCTAAATCACATGCAATATGTTTCACTTCTTTTCCTTTCTTCCATTCAAAAAGTATAATAACAATTCAAAATTTGACTGCACAAGCTTATAACTAGGACTTTTTCTTTAGTATGCTTCAGACATAAAATGCTTGGGAATAATAATACAAGAAAATTTTCTAACGATATCAATACCCAACTCGACTAAGATGCAACTAGGTTCGTAATTCTCAACTAACAAAATACAAGAATGTGTATCCCATAAAACAAAAACAAGTTCTCATAAAAGTCTCCTTTGAGTCACACCATTCTAGATCTGTCCTATGCATATATTGAACAAGGATGGCCATGCCGGTGCTTGCAGACTGACATGCAACATGCTAATAGGATAACGGAAATGTAGTTGGATATGTGCACATCTCACATGCATGATAGTCCATTCTATAATGTATGTGTTTGTGTGATGTGGACAGACACCAGTGTGGAACAAATTGGACTTGACATTATAGTTTCAGAGATATATGTCTTGGTAATAGCCAGGCACATTATTGCGTAGTGTTGCATCACATGGTATTGTGGTTGTATCCTGACATGCTACCCATGGTTGGCAGGTACTCCATAAATAGCATATCAATTATTCTACTGTAAAAAAAGAAACTAACACACCAACAAAAATGTTTCAACTTCTGAAAATTTTACCTTACTGAAAACATAAATTGAACCTCTAATATGATTCCATCCACCAACTTCATGTATATAATCAAAAATTCTTTGGAGAATTTCTAAGGGATCTTACCAGCCACAACTGAAGGAAGCTCCTCTTTGGTGTAAGCAACAGCATTCCCACGCCCATCATAAGCCAACCTCTTGCTTTTGATCATTAAAGGATAACCAAATAACTCTCCAGCTTTCTCAGTGTTTGCAAGATTATCTATCTGCATCAAAATAATTTCAATTAATTAACAAAGGTCTAGATAAACTTCAAGATTCTTTTTTTCCAAAAATAAGTAAACAGAACAGTCAACCTCCATAAAATCAGGAAGTGGTATCCCTTGCTGAGAAAAATGGACTTTCTGAAGATATTTGTCCTGCGATGTAAAATAATAATGTCTTGAACTGTTGCAAAGCAACTAAAATTCATAAAACAGCATTTCAAACCCAACTAAGCCAATCCGATGAGCAGCAAAAAAAGGAGTGGGAGTTCTTGACCAAAAAAATGATTTAGAACAGCTAAGATGGATCAAGAAGCGTAAGTGAAATATTGATAATAATTAAGCAACAGGAAATTTTAATAATGTCTCTAACAAATAGCAAGATTACAATAAAAAACATTTAGAAAGAGAATAAAATCTTTTCTTGTATACTTCATGTAAACAGTAAGCAATCTTCCAGCAAGATAGTTTAAGATGGTTTTCCTTTCTTCACAAATTCTAACATTCCCAACACTTGAACAACATTTATACCAAGTAAGCCTCACTAGCTGCTAGAAGAATGTATGTAGCTATAAATACACATAAAACATAGCAGTCACGCAGTCCTGGTAATCAAACTAGTCCTGATAATCAAACTCCAAAACAATTTTGAGGACAGCATGAGAACATGCAAGCCCTAAATATAAAGCCAAATCATACATTATCGCATATCCATTAAGTATAGATAGTTATTTAGTCATTAATTTCATGTCTTAAGAACTTTCTCCTGTTGATGATAATTTATAAAATTAAAAGAAGAGTGCCACAAACTTTGAAAAAATTTGGACACTGAACCAGTAAATTTCATCTAAAATATAGAAGGTACAAAAGCAAAATTATAATTTCAATAAGATACTCTTTTGACCAGAAATAAAGAAAACCTTCGATGTTTCTAACTGAATTAAGCATGATAACGATTTTTGCATGTTCTGTGATGCATTCTATCCAATCTTATCCTGTTTCCTATTGTTTATCATTCAGAGAAAAAGAAAATTTCCATATAACAGTAATAACAAAGCATGTTCCCTAGGGCATTTTGACATGGAACTTTTAAACCCTATCTTACTGTGATAACGGAGATCAAGCTTGGCCATATCTTACCAACTATACAATGTCTAAGAGAAACATTGATTCACTAGCATGCCTGGAATTCTAGGAGACAAAAAAATCATTTTGTGCTTCACAGTTTCAGTGAGTGAATAGCAGTCAAAAATTAAGATGTTGTTCTGACACATCTGACCATACTTATGGCATACTTAAGAATGTTCTTTTTGGTGAAAAATATCCACAAAAGTGTTTACCCTGCTAATTGTCCTAGAACAGCATTACTCTCTCTGCTGTTTCTCTCAGCACATATAACAAGATATATCTCTCCATCTAGAAAGAAAGGCAATGAATAAGAAAGTGAGAGTTACTTGTATAATTCTTATGGTAGAGGCTTTAGGTTGGCAGTCTATCCCTTGTAGCTCAAGTTTCTCAAGAGTAATTGCATCGACATGTTCAATTTCAACTGTCAACACACCACACCTAATTGCCAATAAAAAAGACTGCTTAATGATGCTCGTCAATCAATAAACAAGTCAAATATGGAAGAAACTATGACGAATTATAAGTGATACCAAGCCCCCAGTCAATAATACAGGGCAACCAACCTTTTTGCAAATTCACGAACTGCATCACCATCATCGAAACTCCCAACTACATGCTGATATGCTAAGCCACTTGCCGGGCAGGATTCGAGGGGATCCAAGATCACTACTTTGACTGCCATTTGGCTTGCCGCTTGGCACAGCATTCGTCCTAGTTGGCCTCCTCCCAGTACGCCAACAACCGTATTCGATACCCCACGTTTGGGCAATCCATCATGTCTGTAGCAACCAGAAAATAACAAGCCGTTCATCAAAAGGCTACATCATAGCCAAACACAAGATCTTATTCATAAAAAGAGAGACCTTGGAATTCAAAGCATCACATATTCGTTCGAGACACAACCGTTCGACACAATGCTACTGAAAGATGTTGTTCGTCATCTGAGGCTACAGCTTCTTAAAATAACCAAAAGATCAATTTTTAGTACATACCGCTCCGAAGAAGATCCATCACCATGGTCCTGGCTCGACGCCACGAAACGAGCCGCGCGAGCAGACCGAGAAGGCGAATCCAATGTCATCGGAGACCTCTTATTGGGTCGGAAAGAGAACCCTAGGACTGCTTCTCCCCCACCACAGGACGCAAGGGCCCTTAACGGGGCGGAATGGCCGTAAGATGATGAGGGGCGGCGATCGCGGGACAGGAAGGCGGAACAGGCGGTGGACCCGAGCCGCAGGGTCGTCATGCGGCCGCAAGAAAAAGTATTCCGGCCACGACCCGAAGCAGACGGGCGGGCTGGGCGACGGCCGACGGCGGCTTCGTTGGAGGCGCTGTAAGAGTGAGAGTGGCCGACCAAGTGTTTGGAGAGGAAGAATCTGCGCTGAAGAGACTCTATTGCAATTATACGCACCAAAGGGGCCCCCCAACCCTACTCTGTGAGACGGAGAAGAGCCGCGTCAGTGGGATATGGAGGGGACCCATTGTTCTCACCCACTCATAACCGGCAGATTTGACAGGTAACAAAGGCCCCCCCACCAACCCCCCAAAAAAAACGACCCAATATTTTCGGGTTTCGGATTTAGATCCACATACCCATTCTATTTAGATTCAATGCCTTCTTATCATCTCTGAGTTAATTTGGGTTAGGAAATGGCTATCGGGTCGGGTTCAAGTTGGATCCATGGCCTGCCTTTGGACGGTGGATGAAGGAAGGAGTCATAGATCCAACGATCACCGTTGCAAAGATAGAGTTCTCGTTCTTATATGTGACGGACAGCTCTGCGTGTGACCCAACGTTTCACCCGCCTTTGGAACCCTCGGTTATGTACAAAGCAAGCATCACCGCAAAACAAACGCCGGGTGAGAACGTAGGCAGATTCCACGTGGCATCATCTGCCATCGCAAACTCGCGGGAGAGAATTCTCCCCCAAAATGCACCCTCCACCATGGATGATAGGGCCCACTTCCGAAACAGAGGCCCACGCACTTGTCAGCACCCGGGAAAATAACAGCTGTCACCGCTACCGAGCGATTTGCCGATATGTAACAGTGTAATATATGTTTTTATTGGCGGTATATACATAGATAACGGGTCTCGCAACATTGTAACGGTTTTGGCAACGGAAGATGGTAAGGGAAAAGGCATCTCTTGCATTCGTCGTCTCCTTCTCCGTGTATATACCGATGAAACGGTCTCACGCAAGGAAGGAAGGGAAGAGGAGGAGAGGCGGTGAGGGATGGAAAGGGGGGCGACGGTGGGAGAGCTGACCTCCGGGGCGAGCGGCCGAATCATCCCGGTGTTGAGGAACATACGGCGGTCCGTGCCGTCGCCGGCATCGCTCGTCCGCGTGCTCTTCTTCCTGCACTCCTTGGCCTTGCGGTTCCTCCTCTTCCTCCTCCGTCGGAGCCCACTCTCATCCAAGACTGCGGTGGCGGCGGCGGGGGGCTCTCCCCGGCAGAGGACGAGGGGAGGGGGCGGCGGGAGGTGGCGGGCGGCCGCGGAGGAGGAGGACGTGCGGCGGCGGAGGGCGCTCGCGGAGGAAGTGGAGATGGTCCCCCAGTCGGCGGAGAGCGAAGAGGGTGGGGCATGCCGGTGGAGTACGTTCGATTTCGTGGGACCGAGGAGGAGGGTGCTCTTCTGCCGGTCGTGGCTGCCCGCGTCTGGGGATCTGAGGTAAATTTTTGATCTCATGTTTGTGGTCGAGAATTAAATTTCTATTTGATAAGCCACGAGAGGAATCAGGAAAGTCTGCGTCTTTTATACCAAGTTTGTGTTCTTTTGGCTATTCCCAATCCCAGGGTATATATTTCCATCTGTTTATCGTTCCTTTTTCTTCTCCGGAAAGAAAGAAAGTCTTTTTTTGTGGATTTTGGACTTGGAGTATAGCTAAATCATGTTGATTACAGAGGTGGAATAGATATTTTTGATGTTCTAATTTTCTTTTTTTTTTTAGCTTCTGTTCAGGACAAAGGAGTGATTCCATGGTCCATTGACTTGAATGCTATAACTTTTAAAGCATTGATTAGCCTTTCATCCTTACAAGCTTTAGTGATGTGAGTTGTAAAACAAGTTTTCCTTTCAGATTTTCTGTATAATTTATTAGTATTAGTGGAACAACATATATATCTGTAGCATCTTCAGATACACAAGTCAATTCTTTTTCCTATTTTGATTGTGTATGGAAATTGCTCCCTGTAGCTGTTTGTTTCTACTCAAGTAGTTGAATAGTTGGTAGCATATGTCCATTCTCAAGTATATTGGTCTTTTGCATTGCACTGAAGGATACGAGAGAACAACTTAAAGAGTAATCTAAGCTCTGTTTAGAAGTTATTATTTTGTTCAAGTTGTTCGACGTTTGAAGTTTAATTTGTTTGCTGGTTATTGCTTGGCTACTGTCTCATTGGAGTTACTGTTTTCATAATTTGCAGGGGCATTACGGTGATAATACATGGACTGAATGAACATAGGTAAGGAGCGCAAGGTTGACTTCCCTTGCAGTTATATAGATGATACAAGCATGCATGCACATGGCTGTATGTAGAATTTCTAGGCAGCTCTACTTAGGGATTTCTAAGTAGCTATCATGTTGATGATTGTATTTGACACCATATTACCATCAATTAATGGAACATGCATCTTTTCAAAATATTTATATATTCGATTTCCTGGAATAATTTAAATACATGGATGACTTCTTTCAGTGGAAGATACGCATACTTTGCTAAGCAGCTAATGGCATGCAACTTTGGAGTATATGCAATGGATTGGATAGGTACGTGGTCTTAACCACTCTTTTTCCTTCATTGCGGCTGTTTTATTAAAATCTTGCGGATGCTTGTTGCCCTACTTTTAGTAAATTAATGGGTTACCTGAATGTCTAGAAATGAGCAAAATGCAGCAAAACTAGGGGTATGACTTGAATCGATACCTTATTTTCATCAATCATCAATTTAAAGCTGTTGTGTGGCATCAACTCCTTTGAGATCACTGTCATATGGTGATGTATTACTTTATTTCTATGCCTTATGACTCTCATTTATCTGACCTTTAAGAAGTGACTAGAGAAGCATGATAGGTGTCAAGGTTTTTAGCTTCGAATACCAGAACCAACCCATGCTGGTCTCTGGCCACATTGGTATGGGATTGATAGACACCGGTATATCAACACACGGTATGTCAGTACGATATTAGAAGGGAGAGGAGAGGAGTATTCAGCATGGGCCAACAGGCGACACAAGGGAGGCTAGCACGAGAGAGAGAGAGAGAGAGAGAGAGAGAGAGAGATTAACCATAAATTTAAAAAAAGGTTCAGAAAGTTTCTGAACTAGGCTTATTGTCTGGCTTAAGCTTGATAATGCGCCAAAATTGGGTGGTAAGCCCTATGCCGGGCCGATTAGTTCATGTCCGGACAGGTAAATGGTGGCCGATCCCTATGGGTCTGAACAAATCAAGAACCATGATGGGTGCACTAAAAGATGATTGTAATGCTCGAAGTCTTGGTACCTATCTAAGCTTTATAAAAAAAAGCAAATTTAGATTATCGAATGATGATAAATTATTTTGTGACCTACAGGCCATGGTGGCAGTGATGGATTGCATGGATATGTACCTTCATTAGATTACGTTGTGGAGGACACTGTAAGCCAACATTGTTATTACTCTACTTATGCTTGGTTAATTCTGGTTTTGAGTTGATTTCATTGTTCCTGTTCATGTATGCAGGGAAAATTTCTAGAGAAAGTCAAATCTGAAAATCCTGGTGTACCTTGTTTCCTTTTTGGTCACTCCACTGGTGGAGCTGTGGTTTTAAAGGTAATGCCTTGTATACAAATCATGTCACTCTACGTAATCTTTATGATCCATCAATTCTGATTTCATCAATAAATTTCTCGCATTACAGGCAGCTTTGTATCCTCATATTGAGGCTATGGTAGAAGGGATCGTACTGACATCTCCGGCAATCCGTGTAAAGCAAGCTCATCCAATAGTTGGGGTAACCTTTTTTCTCTTGTTGCCCATTTTCATATGCTATGCAGTTGATTTGTTCCATTCAGATGTAAAATTTTGAATTAAGCAGACACATTGTAATCGAACCTCTTTTAAGTAAACACATCTGCTAGTTACGGAAGATTGTCAAGCTTTACTTCTTTGGTGATGATTATGCCATGTACCATGGAGATGTTCAAGGATCTTATTTGCAAACTTCACCTGTCGCAGGCTGTGGCTCCAATTCTTTCACTTGTGCTGCCGAAGTTCCAATTCAAGGGAGCTAACAAAAGGCGCATTCCTGTATCGAGGGACCCAGCTGCGATGTTGGCTAAATACTCAGACCCGTTAGTTTACACTGGGCCGATAAGAGTTCGAACTGGCCATGAGATCCTGCGGCTTTCTTCTTACCTGCTGCAGAACATGAAGTCCGTCACTGTGCCTTTCTTTGTCCTGCATGGGACTGCCGACAGGATCACCGATCCACTTGCCTCGCAGGATTTGTACAATGTGGCTGCCTCGAGGCACAAGGATTTAAAACTCTATGAGGGCTTTTTGCATGACCTTCTATTTGAACCCGAGAGCGACAAAGTTGGTGCAGACATAATTGATTGGATGCTGAGGAGGTTGCAGCAGCAAAGCTTATGAATGTGCATGTTCTTAGGAGACAGCCAGTCGAGCACAGGATTTGCTGGGCTAAGGAATGCCTGGGTTGTAGTTGATTGAATCTAATCCTGCATGTTTGATTTGTGTTTTCTCCTGAAGGCAAGGGACTGATGTTTGTCATAGTCATCCAGTGTTGTATATGATTTAAATTTTAAATAAATGTCCTTGTATATTACAAATGCTGGTGTGACTTCCATTATTGTGACAGTTGATCTTGTAGCTTCTTACTGTGCCAATTCACACTGCTGATAATTGAGATGGCAAATGACAAGATAAGCACAATCAGCAACAAAAATAAGTCATGATGCTCCAACCATTTGGGATCAGCTATCTGAATCATTTTTCATCATTGAGATCAATACATTTTTAAAATTTTTTGCATCATTAAATATGAATCGGTTCACTTGTGCATGTCAAATAACATCTTATTTTGACAAGTTGCTAGGAAACTGTCATCTATATCAGCAAAACATACTATATGCATTTTTAACTGGATTAATCTTATGAGTATGAGAAATATGAGAAAACAATTTATGGGAATGTCATGATATGTATATTCTATAAGAACTTTCATTGAACAGAGCCAACACATGCAGATGTGCATGTGTTGTCTTGGGATCACTGTCACAAGTCCCCCTTTCTCATATCAAATTCTGATCTGAATTTGAAACATGAACACAAGCACACACAGTTTTCTTAGGTTTCAAC